CGCCACAGACATCATCTCAGTGACTTAAGAAAGGCTGATATTCTCCTTAGACACGACAAAGGTAAGAACAGTGATCCTGTGTCGAGCCACATAAGATCCAGGCATATTTTGCCACCTCTCATTAGTGATGAATCAGGTGTCCTCAATACCACAATTCCATCTCATTCTTCACATGCAAGTCATGATGAAAGGCTCCGCGATCGATTAAGAACTCGGTTACTCCAGAAACATTTATCCAGAAATCGTGGCCTACTTGGCAAGATTGTCTCTGCTTCTGATTCTGTGATCGGGACAGATAAAGAATCTCTTAAAGAGTTTGGTAATCATCTGATGCATCTAACGAATAGATGCTCTCCTTCCACCAACTCACATCGCGGCTGTTTGATGAGGCGAAATGAAGGGCGCTCCAAGTTGGATTTGTTCAATATTTCAGAAAAGCGTACTCACACAGTAAACCGAGAGACGGATGCAACATCTCAGCAATTAGATAGTGGAGATGAGCATCAGTATAGTCCATCCATTCATTCCTTTCGCTTTCGCTTTGTTGGACGAGAAGTTTGTTCTGATTCTGAGTGTCATATATCTCGACTTCCTAGCCAAGAATCTATATCACGATTTGATCCATCCACTTCTAATGGACATCTATACCTTTATTTTCACAAAGGGTCCTCTCGACAGAGATCTCTTTCGTGGAACGAAGACATTTCCTCTCCTGGTAAAGCGTCTCCTGCCAGTGATTCCCCAACTGTGTCCCCTGTTGCAATCACAATGCATAGGGGTGAACAAAATAAGCGTAAACGTACTGAAGCCCATCGGCTTACAGAGGAGCAAGTTTCTCTCTTCCATGATCAACAATATAAGGTTACTCTTGATCTAGCGGACAGGCTTTGCAGCGAAGAATCGACTAGACTATCTTCTCCTTTAATCGGCTTATCTGCTCATAAACTTAAGTATAAAAGATCTTTTCTGGGATCCAGAAACGGGCAAATCATTGGAGATCGTGAAAAAGAAAAGGCTATACTAAAAAGCCTAAAAAATGATGACAGAGATGAAGATATTGTTGCTGGGAGTGGCGAAGAACGTGATGATAGTGGTGATGACCCAACAATGAGATCTAGCGACGTTAATTTCGATTCCGGGGACTCCCGAGAATCCGTTCACCATCAGTTAGTCCGTTCTCGGCGAGAGATTGCTAGTCTTCGTCGGCGTCTTGATGAGGCGGTCAGGCGTGAGGTTGATTTGCAAGCTGCTAACGAAGTGCTGGTTCGCCAGAACGTCAGACTTAGGCATACGACAGAGCACGCTGCTGCAGTCGCTCGCGTGGCTGAATCGGCTGCTGCCATCGTTGAAGCTCATCATCAGCAACAGCAACAGCACCAGATAGCTACGGCTGCCACTCCTGCTTTTATCGTCTCCACCGCTCCGGCCATGTCTGTTTCGGCTCTGGCCACAGCTCCAGCACAGCCAGTATCTGCCGCTTCTTTGCCACTACCCCATACAGCCTATATTCCTCCAGGTCAAGCTGTGACAGCAACACTTCACCCTACCACAGCTCATCATTTGCTCACTGTTCAGCCGGCCCCTGGTCCTTCACAAACCGCTCAACCAACCGCTACCCTCTCTATTATTGACCAGACACAGTCAGTGCAGCCTCAAGCCGCAGCCACGTTTGCGAATGCCCATCATCCATCGGCTCCCACCATTTACCCTTTAGTAAGGCCAAGATGTTTAATTTTTGCTTTTATTTAACTTGTATTCTCTCTGAGTTAATAAAAGGGATTTTTTATTCTAACATTGCTAACAAGGTTGCTTATTGTTTAAATCGAAAAAGTGTATATCATGTAGCCACCAATATTAATGCAGGTATAGGAGACAACCTATGAGATTCAGGATTTAAAGAAATATACATCTTTGGCGAGTTTTAGCATAGTGCTATGAATGGCAAGACTCACCGGCGATACCGGCGAAAAGTATGGGGAATGTACCAAATCCATGGTCCGACGCTGGGAATTAGTATAACTCCTATAGCAGAGGACTTCGGACAAGGTGTACCCAACTAACTCAGCCTGACATGACCAAGTTTCGAAAACGAGGTCAAATCATTTCCATACAGCGAAAGAAGACTGCAATCAGAACAAA